ATGAGAAGTCCTATAGCTTTAGTTAAGCCGCTTGTCATGTCACTCAGTGATCTAGGCATTGTCTTATGTTGTGTTAGGACTCGTTCAAGACCACCTGCTCTAAATAAAGATATGCAATCTACTATGGTTGACTAATGTTTCGCAAAGTTACAATCAAAAACATGTTGCAAAAGCATCATGTCTGTTTACTTGTGTGTCTGCGGCGCTTTTTCATACAAGTGTTGGTTGGTTAAGGATTAATTGATTGTTAATTTAAACAACGATCGATTATGAGAATGTATGTAAATTGCAATCCCTAGCCTCATCTGAGCACATAAGTTTATGTGCATCTTGGTGTTTCCATGCAGCATTTTTTTTATGCAACAAATCTACGCATAATAGGTAGATGGAAACGGCTATATTGAGGGTTTTGTTTGATTGAGAGCTTGCAGCTGATTGGATCAAGACAAATATTAATATTCACTAATGTTGTGATTTTATGTTCTGTAGCAAAATATGTGGATTCAAAGCTCCGTGCTGGGAACAAAGAAGCAACTGATGAGGAACTCGAGAAAATGTTGGACAAGATAATGATCATATTCAGGTTCATTTACGGTAATACATTTAAACTTAATGCTCTATTCCAAAGGCCTAGAGAGTTTTCGATTATTAAACAACTGTCTACGCTTCATAAACTTTCTCATTTCTCTCTTTTAGGGAAAGATGTTTTTGAGGCCTTCTACAAGAAAGACTTAGCGAAGAGGTTACTGGTGGGAAAGAGTGCCTCTGTAGATGCAGAGAAGTCAATGCTGTCAAAACTGAAGCATGGTAAATTACATTTCTCCTTTCATGTTTGATTTTTAAACCATACCATCATGTCATAGATGTTTCAACAAACTGAATTGTTTTTTTTGTAGAATGTGGAGCTGCATTTACTAGTAAACTGGAAGGAATGTTCAAGGACATGGAGCTGTCAAAAGATATTATGGTGCAGTTCAAACAAGTAATGATATCTTTTTTTTTTTTTTTTTTTTTTTCTGTTTTCTTTTTTGTCTAGTTACTTCTTTTAAATCTCTCTTTTTGACTCTGCACCTCAGCACATGCAATGCCAAAATATTCCTGGGAACATCGAGTTGACGGTTAACATCCTCACCATGGGTTATTGGCCAACATACGTCCCCATGGAAGTGCATCTGCCTCCAGAGGTCTGTTCTGATGAATGTTGAGAAATAGAAGCTTGGATCAGATATTCTTTGTTACTTAAACATGATAATAATAATTAACCTGAGTTCTAATCAATTACATAATAATTAATAAATGATATATTTTTTATACCCTTTACTCTTCAGATGGTAAAATTGCAGGAGATTTTCAAAACGTTTTACCTTGGCAAACACAGTGGACGGAAACTACAGTGGCAGTCGACGTTAGGACATTGTGTTTTAAAGGCAGAATTCAAAGAGGTAATGCACATTTTTATTTTGAAAATAGCAACTGGGCGTGAATAGCAGGCTATCAGTAGCTGATCATTTTATATATATATATATATATATAACAAATTTAACTAATTGAAAATGAAAAGGCTTCTCAGAAACATGACTGGCTACAAGAGAACTTTTTTCTTGGTTTTCACAGGGCAAAAAAGAGCTGCAGGTGTCTCTGTTTCAGACGCTAGTTTTACTTATGTTTAATGAAGGGGAGGAGTTCTCTCTGGAGGACATTAAACTGGCTACAGGCATTGGTATGGATAATTGTGACAAGCAAGCTTTGTCTTGTGATTTGTCTTGTAAAATTTGTGTTCCTGTTGTTAAAAGACACCATTCCATTTAATGTTAATCTTTATGTTCATAGTTAAAGCCCATAGCCTTTTACAAACTTTTAAAGTGTTTAACAAATTTGACTAAGAACCTCAGATAAATAAAAATACACTCATATTTGCAGAGGACGGTGAGCTGAGGCGGACTCTGCAGTCACTGGCCTGTGGGAAGGCACGTGTCCTTACCAAAACCCCAAAGAGTAAAGACGTGGAAGATGGAGACAAGTTCTCATGTAATGATGATTTCAAACACAAACTCTTCAGAATTAAAATCAACCAGATCCAGATGAAAGAAACGGTACTGTCCGGCACACCTGTCATTTGATTGCTGTTGTGTGAAAGGTATTGGGCGCTTGGTCTCATCCTTGTTTGCTGTACCTCATAGGTGGAGGAGCAAGCCAGCACTACAGAGAGAGTATTCCAGGACCGTCAGTACCAAATCGATGCTGCCATTGTTCGAATCATGAAGATGAGGAAAACTCTCAGCCATAATCTTCTGGTGTCTGAGGTGTACAACCAACTTAAATTCCCAGTAAAGGTGAGCTCACAGTTTTGCTTGCACAGTTAATCGAAGTTTCACTTCTGTTTGTGATGGCACATGGTAATGGATGCCGTGCAGCTAATATATTAACTGCAAGTGAGAAGCCAGGCAAAACAAGAATACTGCAACAATCACCAAGCCGTAAATAAGATGTATTGTACAATGTAGACAGCTTTTTGCATTATAATAAGAGCATGTTGCACATTATTTGTGTCAGTTTTTTTTCTTCTTGCTGTTAAGAGGGGCAAGTATGTATTTATGATGATTCACTACTATTCAAAAGTTGTTGTTTTTCCCCCCAAAGAAATTAATATTATTCAGCAAGAATGCATTAATTTAATCAAGTGACAGTAAGGACTATTTCATTAATGCTGTTCTTTCAAACTTCATATTTATCAAAATCCTGAAAATGGTTTTCATCCATAATAATAAATAATACTTCTTGAGCAGCAAATCAGCATATTAGAATGATTTCTAATTATGCTGAAAATTCATTCATCTTTGCTATCACAAAATATAGTAAAATAGGCTGGAAATTAGCCAAAGACTCATAGAACATATGCGACTGCCACTAAATTTTGCTTCATCTTTTTGCAGCCTGCTGATCTGAAGAAAAGGATAGAGTCACTTATTGACAGGGACTACATGGAACGGGATAAGGAGAATCCCAATCAATACAACTATGTGGCTTAGATAGAGAGAAAATGAGAGGGGAAGATGAGGGATGGTAGAAATGACAGGAGGAGGATGTTCTCAGTGACGTTGTTTACTTCCCTTAGCACATGGAACCCCTTGTTCCAGTTTTTGTTCACTTTACCATCTTCACCACAGTGACCAACAACTGAATCAGTTTTCTCTTCATGGATTTGACAGGGTAGGGTGTGTTTTATTTCCCTCAGAATGGAATGTCCAATAAAAAAAACAATACAAAATTATTTTGTTACAATGCTTCTAAGAATTGGACTATCCTGAGCTTAAAAAGAATAGTTATTTATTTTCAGACTCAGTTCCATGGCTGTTGTTTGTCTCTGTGTTTTTTCTTTTCTTCATTGTTAACCCATGAAAATATCATAACATTACATGTGCAAAGAAAACCAGAGCCAGACTGATTGAATTTGACCCATTTGTTCAGTCAATGTTGTATTGGATACCAGTGTATGAACATTGAAAACAGGTTTTCTCTTTGCCAATGTTTGATCAATTTGTACAATGAAAAGAAGGTTCAGCTGATTGGTCACAAGCGATTTATGTTCTGTGAATGTGATTTATTGATAAATAGAACAATTGAGGCTGATTGGAAATTTCACAGTATGTGCCAAGATTAGATAAAACCAAGCACTTGTTTTGTTTGTAGGAATGTTAACGCTGCTAAACACTAACTTGTACATCTTCCTTCTTTTTGTCCCTCCCTGCTTACACCTTCTCACATTTCCTCCTCTTGTTTATTTTGTATATACATTTTATACACAATTTTGATGTTTGACACTCGACTACATTGCAACTGTATTCTTTCTCTGGAAACTCCGAACAAGCACAGCAGCACCATTTTATCATCCTAGTGTTTCCAAGTTTATATATCCCCTAAGTTCTGAATTAGGCCCGTTTACTGAGAAGCTCCTCTGTGTGGCATCACTAGATCTGTCTGTGGAAATTTTGGCAGTGGTGTTTTGAGAAATCATACTAAAGTGGACGGTCGTCCAGTGTCTGGAAAAAGTATGCTTGTTTTTATTGCCTCAGAATAAACAACTGTATGTGTTTCCATGATCTTGTCCCTCTAATCAGTGATTGTGATCTTTCCTAAAAATACTGTATGATGAGAAATGGATACTTGATTCTAAATAACGGGGTAAATTAACCAAAAAAGCATCAGGCATTATAAATTGGTGGTCTTTTATTATTTTCATTAAAAAATACATTGAACAATGTTAGGTATTTTAACTAGTAATAACTATACAAAACTTGACATTTTTGGATTTTTTTTTAATTATTTTCTAAATTAATATTGAATTTGGCTTAAGGCAAGACACTTAAGGTAAAACCATTGTTCTTTCATGCACTGGTCAATTTTGAGATTTTGGGCTACTTTGCTTGCATACCATCTTTTGAGACTACTGGGAAGAAAACATCCCAAATACACATTTAAATGTGCTAATTTTATTAGCCTTTACTTTATCTATTTGTGCCTGTGGAGTTCATATAGCATATCATTTATCTAATTTATATAACATTTTATTCCTAAAAACATTGTGAACATTTATCTATTTTTTTCTGTTTGTTGAATTTTCTCATTTAATTATGGAGTGATAAAAAGAGATATCCAGAACACCGTCTCTAAAAATCTTTAAATCTGTCAACCAAATGAAACATACATTTTGAACCTTGTTTCATCCAATGTTCAGATTTCTGTTTGGGAAATGTATAGAAATCAGTGCATATTTAACTAGATAATGCATTTTGCATACATACAATTTCAGAATACTACATAATAGTGTATTAATACAAAACAGTTGTCTTAATGTGCGATAATCAGTTACGTTTTTTTTTACTGACTTTGAATTGATCATTATCGATATCACTAAAGTCGAACATAAATTTCAAAGTACATAGCAAAATACTGTTATTATATTTTGTCATGCTGTACTTCCATCCTTTGCCGTAAAATGTTTACCACTGTCGTAAATGAAACGGGAATCACCTGCGTTTAACGTGAAGCGTGGAGTTAGTTCATTAAACCATCTTACACTGAAGATTTAGTTTATATTTCTTCGTTTTATAAGATCACTTAGATAAGAGGACAAGAGTGACCGATTACGACTCGCAAGGATGTTTAAAAAGTAAGCTTCAGCCGTTGTCAACCTTATAAGTTAAATAGTAGCTAACGCAACTTAGCATTGTTACAGTAATTGAGTATTTCGTTAGCTCAGTAGCTTCGTAGAAGTAATATATATCGCATATATACGCTTACCAGCTTAATATGGTATTATAACTTAATATGTACCCTTAATTCTGTAGCCGAGACAGTAACCTGTTTAGCTAAGTTAACGTTACACTGCTAACTTGCTGTCACAGCTCACTTTTATGGTTCATTAGTAATGATCCATCTGTAACGTTATTCCTGTTTTCACACTAAGCTTTGTTAAGATAACGTTACTTCTAATATTTATAACTTGAAACGATAGTAAGCAAACTGCAAAAAACGTATGTTTACATCAAGTGATGGATGTGAGGTGTTTAAAATTCAAGGAACCAAACTTGATATAAGTCAGTCATAAAACATTGGAGTAATTATGTTATATCAGACCTCTGTACTAGACTAATTTCTTTATTTTAACAAACAGTACTTTTTGAGAGACCTGCATCTGTGTCATCTGCATTATTAGATGTTATATTTGCTGATTATTTTCTTTGTCTTCATAGATTTGATGAAAAGGAAAATGTTTCAAACTGTATTCAGCTGAAGACGTCTGTAATTAAGGGTATAAAGAATCAGCTGTTAGATCAGTTTCCCAACATCGATGATTGGCTCAACCAGATAATGCCCAAAAAGGACCCAGTCAAAATTGTGAGATGGTAAGAGTTTCACAATATGGACAACTGTAATGCAGTACTAAAGGATTAACTAATTGTGATATTTTGTCTATGTTTCCAGTCATGAGCATATTGAAATTCTTACAGTAAATGGAGAGCTGCTCTTCTTCAGACAGAGAGAAGGGCCCTTCTATCCCACCCTCAGACTTCTACACAAATGTAAGACAGCTTTAATTTCAGCAGTGTAATGCTTTCTCTGCAGAAAATATTTTCTCGGGTGACAGAAGATGATGGAAAACTTCTTATATTACACAACTTACCCTTGCAATTCAACTTGGTCAGACTAATGCCTGATACTCGTGTGTCTGTTCTCCAGATCCCTTTATCCTGCCACACCAACAAGTGGATAAAGGAGCCATCAAATTTGTTCTGAGTGGAGCCAATATCATGTGCCCAGGCCTTACATCACCAGGAGCCAAACTCTACCCTGCTGACACAGACAAAGTAGTTGTATCTTTCCAACTGTTGAATTCATTTTTTGTTTCTGAAATATTTTTCTGCACTTGAAGAATAAATCCTATTGATTTATTGTAAAGAAATAGTTCACTTAAAAATAATTATCTGTCTCTTCACACAACCCTTTTTTGTCAATGACAAAAAGGACACAAAAAGCACCATATTAGTTTTGGTCTGTTGTTCATCACACAAAGGAATCATATGACTTTAGAAAAAGTCTTATGAACTACTTTTATGGTATATTTGTCCTTTTGAAATGTTTTATGTAAACTGAATAGCTATTTTCAATTTTAGTTTAAGTTTTAGTAATTTTGTGATGTTGTCTTTTTGATTTTTTTTTTCATTTCTATTTTTTATATTTTATGTTTATTTCAGTATTAGCTTTAATAATTCTAGTACTTAAACATAATTGTTTCAGGTAGTCTCCAAGGCAACATTTTGTTTTTCAAATAATATCTATTTTTTTATTTTTATTTCAATTACTTTCAGTTACTGAAAACAATAACAACACTACCATAAATATTCGTTTTTGAGTGAACTATTCATGTAATAGATTTGATTGGTGTGTGTTGCATAGGACATGTTGTTGTCCTTAAGTATTTGTTTTCAGGCCATAATGGCAGAAGGGAAGCAGCATGCAATCTGTGTGGGAGTCATGAAGATGTCTGCAGATGACATGTGAGTGTTTCATGCGTTTGTATTCTGAATCCCCATTTGATTTTAAAATGCTAAACTACACGCACGTCTACAAAAACAAAATATATATATTTTAATGATCTGCACAGACATTCTTAAATGTTGAAATGTTTAGTTCATCTATCCTCTGGATCAGTGTTTCTCAACCGGTGGGTCGCAAGTCCGTTTTGAGTGGGTCGTTGTGTGTAGTCAAAGAAACAACAACAGACTTAATTCTAACCCCCAGTTTCACAGACAAGGCTTAAGTCTAGTCCCAGACAAAAATATGTTTGAGCTGTTTTAACTGAAAGCAGCTTGCACTGACATGTCTTAAAATATGAACACTGCCATTTGTTTTTTTTCTATTTATAAAAACTACTTAAATGTCCTAATTGAACTAAGGCCTAATCCTTGCTTAATCTAAATCGTATCTGTGAAACAAAGCCTAAATGTTTTTTCTGAAACAAGACATTTATTATGAAAGACGTGCGATAGCTGTTGACTCTTCTATTTGAACAAAAACTAGTTTGGGACTAGTTAATAGCCTTACCTTATTATACTGTTTATTCATCAGTGTTAATGATATTCTTAATTTATGTGGATGTTAAAGTGGGATGTACTGATGGTGTATCAACCATTTTTGAGAAATACATTTGCATGGTTCAAATGACTAAAACTTTGGGTTGCGGCTTAAAGGCACAATATGTAAGATTTTTGGATTAAAATATCCAAAAACCACTAAAACAATGTTTATATAATTTGTTGACTTGTGTACTTACATTATTTCAAATGTTTTCAACCATGTTTAATCCAGAAAAATTAGCTATTTTATTCAGTGTAACGGCCCGTGCCGTTGCGTTGCCTTTCAATGACATCATATCTGTCACCCTTGATTTCCAGTTTTACTTCCATAAACCATGGAAACACCAAGGACGCTTTGATATATTATGCGTTTTATTTAGACAGGTGAACAGCTGTATGGATACTTTTATTGACAGAAAACTAATCATTGTTATACAGCTCAACACGGTTAGTCTTATTGCTTGTTTTCTTGATTAACCGCGAGTAACATGTTTGTACCGCGCCTCAGAGACAACACTATTTTGTCAAGTAGCTAACATAGCGTAATCAGAAAAAGCTTTATTTGTTGGAACAGTAATACAACATTTTCTACACCATACAATATATTTTAAAATGAATTGCATGTCATTTAGCAACACAAGTCATTCAGCTCTTATTAGTATCATATTTTAATATCAATCTAGTTTATTGCAGTGTGCAACAAGTGTCTCGTAGCAGCAAGCGAAGTGTCTCTTAGAGCGAACGCAGAGTAACGTTATAACAAATTCAACGCAACGCACTCTAATTTATTTTAGTATGATTGTTTTGACCAAGTAAAACAGCACTGCATTACTCCACAATTTTAATTCGCCAAATAAAGTCACGAGTAACAATTCTGCACTCGCAGTTGTTTTATTATAATGAAATTAAGAAATGTGAATGTAAGGGATCAGGGTTAGGGTTAGGGGATCAAACGCAACTGTAACAAAGTTCAAGTTCAGGGAAGGAGACGGACGTTAAACGTAACTTTAATTGTACAATATGCATAAACAACAAAACGAAAGGAGCAGCAGCGGCTGTCTGTGGTATATAAGTCCAAGGCTCTCGTCCCGCCCTGCTTCATACCACAGTGACATTATTAAAACTTTAATACATTACCTCCCCCATGAACATGATTTCTGCCTTAGTCCCGTCGGATTGCTTTCCATCGGCTGTGGAGGTGAAAACGACACCTCCCATGATTCCACGCTCATTCACGGCATCCTCAATCTACGCCTTTGTTATTGTTTTGAAAGAGTGACCTCTAGCGGCGAACCTTGCATACTGTGCCTTTAATGACCATGGGAAAATGTGGGTCCTATGGCCAAACCAGTTGAGAACCACTGCTCTAGATTGCTGTGTGAATACAGCATGTATAAAATAAAGCAATACATGAAATTAGTTATGTTGGTTATGGAAAACTAAATGATTCATTTGAGAATATTTTCTTGTCTTCACTGAACAGAGAGAAAGTAAACAAGGGAATTGGAATCGAGAACGTTCACTATCTGAATGATGGACTGTGGCACATGAAGACGTATAAGTAAACACAGATATGAGGATGCGGTGGAATCGTTTGGACTCCTTGTCACCAGGCTGCTACTGTTTACATGAATGGACTCAACTGTCTACCATGCCGAAAGCTTTGAAAACGACCCCATTTTAATGCACAAATAAAATCCGTATTCAAGTCATTCCTAACTGAAATGGTCTGTTCCTACAGTGAAAGCTGAATTGTGTTATGGCTGCTTAAAGCTGCAGTGCGTAGCTTTTTTTGGGTTAAAAATGATCCAAAATACATATTTGAGAACATACATAACCAGCCAGTGTTCAAAACTATCTGATTGCCTTAGTTCGATTCAAAGCGGTAAGCTTGTAATAATGTTTTGACTCCAGTGGTACTGGTACTATAAAAATAATTTTAAATGATTGATTGTAAATATATACATTTTATACATATACATCCGAGGTCCATTTATAATATGTATTTAGAGGTTTTCATGAGCACTTTTTTTGGTCATGCTGCTCTTACACGAGCTGTTTGCTTAAATCCAATCTAGTTTTTAACTGTTCCATCCTTCAATAACAGCCTTTTTTTTTCCAATAACAGTTTTTTTTAGGTGGCACTAATTCTTGCACACCTTTGAATTAGCAAAAACGTTCCTATACATTAATATCTTCCTTTAAAATTCCTCTTCTGAAATTATTTGGAAGACACTATAGAGTACATAATATACATGTTCATAATATTCCCTCTCTGAAATTTTAAATCTCTTTGCAGACACTCATTTTAAGTGTCCTTTTGGGAACTAGCAACAACAGCACATTGAATATAATACTACAAAGCAGTATTACTTTAAATCGGCAAGTCAGTGCAAGTCTGTTCTGAATTATGAATCAAAGTACCATCATGGAATATTAATGTGGCATTATGTGTTCAACATTTTCTGTAGCTTATGTCCGTTTAAAAATAATAATATATGGGTTGAACACCAAACCTGCATGAATATTAATACATGACTTCTAACGATATGATTCTCATGTGCTAAAGATCAAACGGGTGACCTGTGTTTGAAAATCAGATCAGGATGTGAAAAGGGTGAAACAGGAAACTCTATTCTAGGGCGAAATGAGTTCAAAAGCACTATGAACTGAGATTCAGTGACAGATGTTTGCAAAAAGGTAGTTGCAAGTAAAGGGAGTTCAAGAGAGAACAGGAGGATGAAGCAGAAAAAAAGATAAGTGAAAGAGGAAAGAAAAACAAAAGAGAAATACTAGGAAATAATTTAATATCATTGCCTGCTGATCAGCCCAAAGCTGTTTAAACAATCTCATTTTAATTTAACCCGTCACACATTTGATGCTTATTCAGGGGTTTAAAGTGGGATCAACTACCCTTAGAGTCAAACCCAACCAAGAAGCGATTTCTGTAATAAAAAATGACTACGAAACATAATTTTCATTATTATTTATTAAAGATAATCCCAATTTAGCTACCAAAAGTGTTGTAATCTATTGTAAGATTAAATATCCATGTAATAAATAGGATTTAATGTTTTATGGGTGTATTAATTCAAAAAGGTCACAAACCATTGTGTAATGAATTATAGAAACAATATTTTGATATGTAAATAGACAAGTTTCTATGCAAGTAACACAAACTCAAGCGTATTTGGATTACACTTTTAAACCACTTTTACTTGACTTCATATATATTAAGGACAATATAGAATGTTTTCTTTTACCAAATGCTATAGAAACGGCCTTTCCCTCTGATATTTTACATCCAAAACACTTCATTTTAAAAATCATCAACAGATTCTTCTTTATTATTCCTACCAGTCCCCCATGAAAAGAAAGAAAAATGTAAAAAATAATTAAAACACAGCTGGATAAACAGTTATCATCAAATGGATCATATAAATACACTTTGCATTTTCTTATATACAATTAACCGATTTTCTGTTGAATTGTTTACAGGTGAGTTGTAGAAGTGTATACCATAAAACTTCATAAAACATCACAGTGCATATCTGATCCATATATGTGGCATTCATAAATCTAGCAAATTTTTATTCAAAATATTATCAAGTGCACAAAATTATCCTATATTGGCCCTCATGATTAAATCATGCTCGTATGCAAACCGTTATCCTTTTGCTTTTACCAGAGCACATTTTTAGCAGAAAGCAGGGTGAAAAAATCCCTCATCTTACACACCAGCACCAACCTTCAGCGCACACAATCAGAAAGTACACATAACACACCACAGATAATTCAGCCCTGCATCCAGTATCATCAACGTTTCAGCTCTGTGTCACAGTAACAGTTCTAATACAGAAACCATGAAGTCAATCAGTCATTATCGGAGTCTTTAGGAGGCAGAAATGTCAAGGAATCATGAAAGTCGTGTCCATACGGCCGGAGTCTATAGACGCCAAACATCAAGACCTGCATCTGGCTCGGAGACATACCTCCAAATGTGATGGCCATGTCAGAACAACAGGCCTCCACGACGTCGGCTGGGTTTTGGCCCATGCTGTCGGAAATCAAAGAGCTAGTGCTCTTCTTGTTGAAAAGCCCTTTGCCTTGCGCATCCTCTCCATTTTCAGCGAACACCCCACTGTACTTCAGACAGGTGGCGAGCTGCTTTTCTTCGGGCATCTTCCACAAGGCACGTCCTCGTTCTGGGCATTTGTCCTCATCTTTGAAGATCTCTATCAGCCTCCTAACTGCCTCGTAGCTCAGCACAATCCCGCTGTCGTACTCCACATAATCCAGCTCTCCTGACTTTTCCGTGTGGCCAATGTAAAACGGCTGGCTTGAATCTTTATCCAAAACCAAATACTTGAGGTTCTCTATAATTGCGAATGTGGTGGGCCGGGCCACGAAGAACCAGCGTAGGTCGCCGGCATTCTCATAGGCGTGTTTGATGGCTTTGCGCAGCCTAGCCCACTCATCCTGCTCCTGTAGGTCAAACGCATCTAGAGCTTTGGAAGATTCGGACGTGTAGAACACGGATTTGTCGCAGTGTTTGCTCCAAGTGTCGTTGGCTGTCGCCCAGTGGACCAGGAGCTTGGGAGTGACCATGATGAGACAGTACACTCGAACCTTCTGGGTGAGATCAGACATCTGACTCTCTGATAACTTTTGTAGTTCATCTTTGCTGAGGGGTTTCAGATGATGGTGAAGATGCTGATGACTTTTTGAGTGGACTCCTGGATTAAAGGTCTCAAAATAAGTCATCACCAGGCAGAATATACCCCCTAGGATCAAGCCTTTCATAAAAGAACTGCCCTCAGACATCATGCTGGTATGTAACCCTGTAATGATTAAAATATGAATAAAGATATAATGATTAGAACAAAACAAATGGCAGTTTGTGCTCTTATGACATATGTTCAGCAATAACAACAAAAATCTTATATTAACTCGAGAGAGTATGTGATGAGATACGTTGTCTGTTGAGATAACTTCAATTTTGTTCCTGGTGACAATACAAAGCTATTTTCACAAAGCAGCCAGTCAAGCAGTCAAGTTTACTGAATACTGTTTACTTCACACTCAAGAAGCTAACTTTGACTTGGCTACATCTAACTGCAAGAACACATTAAACGCTTAATAAAAACTAACGTTAACGTTACACGTTCAAATCATTAATTAGATATAATCTGGATACCTTTTTCAGGAACGCAGAATAGTGCTCACATTTAGACGCTACCAGTTCGCATTTAGTTCCGCACACAAAACCGGAAAACAAAAAATGTAGTCCGTTCTGGAGTCAGTGTTACCTGTCCACCTTGCAATTCATTTGCACGGAATAAAGTAAGAAAGCTGCTCGCAGTTCAGTGCGGCTTCCTCCATGAATACGGATGTTGAAGCGGATGTTTAATCTTAACGAAAGGCACTTTGGGAAATGTTGTTCATTTGTGCTGTCTCGCTGAGACGAACACGGTGGTAAAAACTACAAACGTCGTTTTCCTGTAAGTAGACAAGGGCGGAAATGATTTGTGCGCTTTAAAAGTTTTTACTGATTATTTAACCACTTTTATGTTAAAGCATATATAAATATAATAATAAATATATATGTATGACAAAAGCAAGCAAAATAACTTAACGCTTCACGTTTGTTTCAAGTAACTCAATTAAAATATGAATGAATAAATTATTAAATTAATTCAAGTATAAAATTTGACAAATAAATGGACATATCTAAAACTAATTTACTTCATATAAAACTATGTAATTCATGTTTAAGATGTTATTTAAATATAGCAATAAAATAATGCATTAATTACGAATTAACTAAAACTACAACTTTTTATAAAGCATTTTATATAACATTTTTCTTAATATATTTGCTAAAGAGCTTTTCTGTTTTTCCTTTTCTGCTTTGTAAGAGGATTTAGAAATTAAGCATATTGAAACCTCAATTGCTAAGTGAATTATACAAATTTATACAATGTAGTGAGAACGACGTCTTAAAATAAAATGAAAATGTTTGGGCTAATGACTGTGGAGCCACACGAAAATGGAGCCATGACAGCACTATACTTACTAATATAAACTATAATATAAATATTTCTTTATCAGTCATTTGTGGCTCGTTTGTGGCTCATCAATGGAGAAAGATGCTTTGAAGAACCAGATAGTGCAGTTACAGAATCCACCAGTAGAGGCCAGGCCAAGGGGTCAAGAAGATTGGGATGATTTGCATGACTCTGTTAGCCCATGATAGCAGAAGTCAGTACACCATCTGGTCCCAAAAAGCATGTTTCTCCACTCACATTCAATAAAAATTAGCCATGCATTCTAAAAAAAAAAAAAAAAAAAAATATATATATATATATATATATTTATTTTATTTTTTTACCATGGTTTGTGGAAGTGGGCTTGTGTACCGAAGGAAGCACAAGTCAGCTACTTGTATTTTCCTTTTGTTGTCTCTCTAATTTTGCCACCTCTTCTCACTTTTTATAAAGACAGATAGAGAGAATATCTGTTTTATTGAAATAATCTTTTATTTCCTGCCCACTGTCTCTAATGAACTCCTACCCATGAACTGGCTAAACTCATGAATCTCACATGAGCTAAGTTTTAATGTTGAATATGCAGCATTTTACATATTTATGAGATTAAACAGGCAAGACACAGGCTTTCTTTTTCATGCAAGATCAGAAGAGATAAATTACTCATGCGATCATCACTGGTGCATAAACAATTGAATAAAGCATCTTTTGTTTCTCACCTGCCATCTCATTTCCTGAATACTTCAAAAAAGATTTGATTACAAAGAAAGAAAGAAAGAAAGAAAGAAAGAAAGAAAGAAAGAAAGAAAGAAAGAAAGAAAGAAAGAAAGAAAGAAAGAAAGAAAGAAAGAAAGAAGCGACACTATATAATGTGCTATTAATTAGTCAAAACAGGTTTTATTTTACATTAACATCAACATTGTAGTACAATTTTACAGACAATAAATAAACATATGAGGGACAATAAAAACAGACATTAGACAAAAATAACAACAACAACAACAACAACATGTATATCATGTAAAAATCAAACAGGTATAGAATTATGGCTGGAATTATGTGCTCAAAATATCACATTCCCTTAATGGGCTCAGAAGTTATTTTGAATGATTGCTTTATAGGTTGGATATTAGTATTATGAGACAAAATTCCTTTGTTCCCTGTACAGTGATACGCTGGCCCTTTAAGAAGAGACATTTAAATCTAGGCGTGTTTCCTGCTCCCGATGAGAATCCAGGCTTGCTTGCATCCTACGACACGAAATTAGAGGAAAGATTATCTTACACATTACCCAAAAAGCGGCATAGGTCACAAAAGGCTTTACCCACATTTATTTTGCATCCTTTTAAGAGAAAAGGGACGGATATACTCCTCTCGGGATAAGCTCAACCTAACAAATGACATAAATGTCAGTCGGTCAAGGTCCACTCACTCTCCAGATGTGCTTTTAGCATTAACACGTTTATTTCACGTCAGATTCGCTTTCTCATTCGAAATCTGTACACATTTTGAACGGAAGCACTTTCATATTGTGCCAGTATGGGTCATCTCCGCTTTTGGATGAGGATTTTGCCTTTTGGTTTTTGATTTGGGACTTTAACCATGGATTTAAGTACAGAAGAGCAGATATGTAGAGCTACAGACTGATGGTAACGATTCATGAGGAAGCACGGGAAGAAACCTACAAACAAATCTTACACGTGAAGGAAGAATTACATTCTTGGAAAGAAGCTCCTGTATTTTTATTGCTGATAACTTTACGCATTCGTAGTGGACACGGCTGTGGCTTATTTCAGGTTAAATTGACAAAAGACAGTCCGATTGTACATTCGCGACCATGTCGGCGGTGATGATATCACGGAAGGTTACTCGAAAATGGGAGAAATTACCTGGGAAAAACACCTTCTGCTGCGATGGACGGGTAATGATGGCTCGCCAGAAAGGAGTATTTTACCTGACCTTATTTCTCATCATTGGAACCTGCTCTCTGTTCTTCGCCTTTGAGTAAGTGCATGTTATTGGTGATTACAGACCTCGTCTACACTGCCAGCGACGCGACTAAAACCATCGGAGCTGTCGACTCTGCACGCGCGCGATGTCAGTGTGGGCAGCTTCGTTTCCCCCCCCATTACAATGCGGGGTTTGCACTGTAGACTGTCTTTGTTTAATGCCATTGTAATAATGGAAAAAACATAACAATAAAAAGGTGTCCGTGTGAAATAATGAGGACCGAAGCGCTCCTGATTGTTTGTAGTAACAGCAAGCCATTTCTCAGTTGTGCCAGCTGACATTGAGGTACGCCATGGCTGTGTGTTTTAGTAGAAATGCCCGATTCGTAAACGAGTCGTTCTTTTAAATCTAATTGGTTGGAGAGGTCCAACGATTCGTTCTCGACGAATCGCTCCCAGCAGTTCTTGAGTCAACGAATCGTCGACTATTTAAACCGAAAATAGATGATTTCTGTGTGTGTTCAGAAAACATATATTCTAATGTTACAAATAAAATGTAGGCTACTGGAAATACGTTTACAACTAGTTTATCAATACAGATACAAACCACAGTTTGTTTTGAGTTGCATTTTATTAAAACGTGCAAACCATTTTAGCTAAAAGATTTAGGCCTAAGCCTAAATTATAGGTATGGTAGGCTACTATTGTTTTATAAATGCAAATAAAAACTAATTTAGGTTCTACATTAGGCTACTTTTATATTTTTATGAGTTTAACCTCAACTGAACTGATATAGGCTACAATAAAAACAAATTAATAAAAACTAAACATAACCATAAAACATAATATCTGCAATATTTGCTTACATATGTCTAGAGTATTTCAGATCATGTAATATATCGGATGTCAGTGACCATGTGATGCAATTATGTCATGTTGCTGAATTGTTTTTATTGGACCAGCTCCTGAACTGAATTAAGTAGGCTAATTTGCAGAATGACTGACCATCACTATATGACAGTTGTAATAATGTATCAAATCAACTGCTATATATTTATTTGCTACAAAATATATGATTTATCGCCTGTAAAAGACTGTATGGTTTCATCAATGGAATGAGATATGAACCTTTTTGGATCTCCAAGTCTAATGAACCTAAAATAATAATAAAAAATAGATCTGCTATATCTAAGTACAGATCTGCTAATGATTACAAATACAGTTTGGCCTATATTTTCAAATTGTATGAGATCCTTCACCTGTTGATGGATGGGAAACAATTAAAAGCTGTGTCATCTTTGTTATTGAAACACATTTTGACAATAGCAGATTGCTGCCCATGTTGATAAAGCTGGATGTGTGTGAGTTCTTTTGGGTGGATATGGGCTCCCTTGTGTGGACTATGACGTCTGTGGTCTGTGTTTCCTGAGACTCAGTGCTGTGCTCCTCCATTAGGCCTGATCATCAGCATGCAGGAAACGAATCCCTCCGCTTAGTCAGAAACTCGCAGTCATTTATTGAGCTGCTGGCTCCTGTAGTAGGGTTTCACTGCACGCCATGTTCATATATTGCTGTTACTGATAATTAGTCCTTGTGGGGCAGACATATTAACATAGAAACTGGGCTGAGTGCAAAAGTGTGAATTCTTTTTTACATGACAGGCTAATAGAGGAATTAGAATTTTTTTTTTTTTTTGGCACTTACTATTTCAGTTTAACAGTCGATGGAAATTCTGATATGCACATCACAAAAGAACCACTATTATTAAATATCATCTGAAGTTATTCATATGGTCTCATGAGATCTACAGGTTCTTCAGTTTCAGTAGTGCACATTTATTTTATGTGCACTTTATCTTTTAATACAGAGCATGAGATATCCAGCAGAGACAGACCGTGTTTATGGAAACGCATTGCTTCCTGCTGTTCTGAATTTACAGGGAATTATTCGAGTATTGCTGAATGCTCACATTATTGTGTTTTGTGCCTGGACAGTTTATTCCTCTGCGGGCTGAGTGATTTTCAAGCACAAGACTGATTAGCAGGGCTGAACTTTGCACTGTTTTTTCTAAATATCTTTGTCTTTTGCTCTGTCTTCTCGAAGAGAGTTTATCCCACCCAGTCTATGTATGTGTGTGAAAGTAGACAGTAAAGCTGGGCATACGTACACGGTATGATTTGTGCTGCTGTACAAGCTCACAGACGGTTTTCTCTCTGAAGAAATTGTCTGGAAATCGTTGACGCTCGTATGGTCACGTATCGCATTGTGTGAGAGCAATTGCGAGCCGAGCTGAGCTGGATATATGGTTTAAACATTTTGCAACACAAACTGGAGGTAAGCAATAGTAATTTGTAGCTAGTTTGATAGTTACAGAAATTAAGATCTCCCTCTTTTCTTTTTCTTTCTTGCTGCAGGTGAAATGGTTAAACTTCTGTTTTCGCGCAGGCGCAGTGAGGGAAAAAACCACTGAGTTTAGGACAATCGGTTCGTAGCTCTGCTTTAACTGTGCGATATAGGCCTAGTCACGAGGAGTGAGCAAAATTTCGGACATACCAGAAATCCATCCGGCCATCCGATTGCCGATCGGGGGAGAGGTTAATCACTTCTCGTTTCTCCCTGCACGACAAACGACAAAGCAGAAAATCGTCCCGACCCGAAAGAGAGTCGCACGAGTCAGAATTGACCTATGGCTAAGCCACGCCCCCAAACGCGATAAGCCAATCAGTGTGCATAGCTAACCCAATACACTCTGACATTCTCTGCTTCCACGTCCATTGAAATGCATTGCAGTTAGTCAGTTTTCATTCGTTTTTATATTATTATTTTATTTTATTTCAGAGACGTAAATAATGGTCCATATTACAGACAAGAAGAGACACACATAAAAGCAATACATTTATCTCCTGTATAGGCTTAAAAGCCAGTGAGACCAAATACCAGAAGAATATCGCACAGAGCTTAGTCCAGGGTTGGTCAATGCAGTGATGATACTGTTCGCCGAGCTCGAAAGCCTGCACATGCACCTGTACATAAGATTTCGCAGTACAGCAGGGCAGTTTGGCAAACCCACATTTACAAACATTTGGCTTGCACAACTCCATCGTGGGACCCTCAGAAGCGTCCGCAAGGCATCATTATACGCTACAGTTAGCTTTTGCATACTACTCTTTCTGTAGCGTCTCCACAGGTGTGCAGTATACATGGTAGTGCAGTACGCCTTAAAGAGTCTAATTTTAACAGGTATAGAGCACATTCCAAACCTGCGAAAGAGCCCCCCGTTCTTTAGGCTGTTATATGTTTCTTCTTGTCATTTTAAGTTTAAAATGGTCAAACGGTGTGCATGGGGTACACACCGTCGCCCAGCCTCTCGGGATACCGAGTGTCGGAGTTGCAACTCCGACACTCGGTATCCCGAGAGGCTGGGCGACGGTGTGTATTTTTTTTACCCTTTCCCAAACATCTCGACCGAGATAAGTCGTGTCTGCTCTGGATTAAGTTATGCGGTAACGTTAGACCACAACACCAACTAAACGTGGATAAATTAAACAAGAATTAAACAAGGATGTCTACATCTGTTCTAAGTCAACATATTTGAAGTTTTGAACGTTATCTTTAACATCTCTAACGTAATGTTAGCTTCTAGCTGCGTTGTACATCATGTCACTTAGCTTCATTAACGTATATAATGTAAATAACCGAGATAACAAATGTTAGCAATGTTGTGCTGAATGATTCATATAAATACTGCAGTGCATGAACAATGCTGATCCTCTATCTTGTTGTCTGAGATGGTGATGGCAACGAGATGCGGTTTTTCACGTTTACACTGTGACCTGTACATTTTTGCCTGGAGCTGAAGCTTTTCATCGACCTTCTCAACAATAAAATTATTAATATAACCCTCCAAAATGCATAGTTAATGCCCTTTTGGTGACTTCGAGATGATATATAATCTTTCTGTCTCCAAAAATCATCAATTGTACCCCATGCACACCGTTTGACCATTTTAGTTTTAGTTTTTCATTTATTATGAATTTTTAATTTTATTTCAGTTTACAAAAATGTTTTTTGACCAATAGTTTTAGTCTTATTTTCAGTTTTTTCGTTTACGAAAATAACCTCAACAATCTTATTTTATTTCTGTTATTTGCAAGGGAGCATTTCTAGTTTTCGTTTAAATTTGTAATCAAATATCTATATTTTATTTTAGCTTTATTTCAATCAACTTCAACTTTTAATCAATTTAAATTTATTTTCAAACTATTTAAGAAAAAAAGTTTAAGATTATTTAATAACAACATTGAAAAAACCTAACAACAAGTAGAAACAACTTCAAGTAAGACATTTGTTACATGACCCACCATTACATAAGACAAAAGCACGACTCAGGTTCATTAAATGGAAAGATTTATTTTTGGCTTATACAAAAGTATATTTCTCACACACACGAAGCCCTTTCAATTTCAATCACATGATCTAGATCCTCCACTACTGACAACCCTAAATGTTCAGAGGGAGAGCCCAAATGTTCAGAGGAAGGGCCAACGTCTTCAGACGACTCAAATTGCACCATTCCCAAAGGATAAAATTCTACCTCATCATCGTCGGTTGCAACTTCCCCTTGTTTCTGCATACCAGCCCTAGGAATCTCATCAACTCCAAATGTGGCCATTGGCGCACATCTAAGCTCAGTTCTATGTACCTGTCGTATTGGACCATCTCGATCTACTGGAATAATTGAGTAAGGAGCCCCCCGTTCTTTAGGCTGTCGCACTACCCTATACAAAGTAGAGTCCCACATGTCCTGAATCTTGTTACGACCCCTCACTGCATGATTACGTGTATAAACAAGAGCACCTTCTCCAATACCCGTATCTGTAACTTTGGACTCATAACTTTGATCTCTAAACTGCCTCCTAGACTCCAGCCGCTACCTCACATGGTCACAGGCCCCTTCCGATAACTCCTGGTGCTCTTTCACCCATTCCTCCACAGAACTTTCTCCTACCTCTTCTGCCTCAGCCCCCAATACAAAATCAATAGGTAACCGAGGCT